CCCGGCCCTTCCCAGGGACTCCCAGACCAGACACAGCGATGGGGAGAGGAGCGTAGAGCAGCGTAGCACCAAAACCAACATGCCCCAGGCCCCAGTGGGGCAGGGAGGGTCAGTCGCCCAGCGCGCAGGTCGAGAGGCTGTGAGGGGACGCGCGGGGAGGGCAGAAACAAACAGGCCCCAGGCCCCAGTGGGGCAGGGAGGGTCAGTCGCCCAGCGCGCAGGTCGAGAGGCTGTGAGGGGACGCGCGGGGAGGGCAGAAGGGGAGGAAACCCCACCCTGAAGGCAGCTGGAGTCTGGGCCCCCGGCGCTGCAGATGGCAAGGGGAGCGGAACCGCCCGGAGGACCGGCCGTACCTGAGCCTTCAGGCTGGCAACATCCAGCACGGTGACGTGGTTGGCACAGCTGGCCCACACCGTGTCATCCAGCGTCAGCAAGGTCCGCACCGGTCCGGTCCCCACCTCCAGACAGCTGGGCTGCGCCTCCAGATCCCAGAGCCCCCCTGCAGCAAGGGGAGAGAACAAAAGCCGGCTAAATCAGAGACTGCTCAGAACAGACCAGAGGAGGAGACACCTTGGAGCCGGACCTCAGCCCCCTTCCCTCCCTCCAATCCCACAGGATCTAGGGCTTCCCCCTCAGGAGCCGGATCAGACGCTGAGCCCCAGCTGAAACCCAGGGCATGACACGGTTGTGGCACAAGCCAGGCTTTCCACAAACAGCTGGAGCCCCACTCTCGGACCATCCCTCCTTCCATTCACCACCTCAGCGCCGCCCCGAGCCAGTAACCGTCGCTAGTTCCTGGGAACATCTGCAGCTGACCGTGGGCACGACCCGCCCGACGCTCTCCCCAGCACCCAGGCAAGGCCCCCACGGACTTGAGCTTGGAAGCCTCTGGCCTCACGCCAGGCCTTCCTCGCACATCCAGCCCTCAGAGGAAGAGGTCCCGCAGGGCTGGGGTGTGGCGCCTGTCACGCTGGGGGCAGGGAGAGGTGCCGGCATAGCTCTCCCTCCTAGGACTCCAGTCAGCAGTTACAATTCAATCCTAGAGCACTAGAACTAGAAGGGACCTCGAGAGTCACCAAGTCCAGTTCTCTGCCCTCGCGGCAGGACCCAGCACCGTCTAGACAATCCCATTCAATCTGCTCTTAAAAATCTCCGGGCATGGAGATTCCACAACCTCCCTAGGAAAACAGGCACAGCTCTTGTCCCTGCAGCCCTGACAGCGTGCATGGGCTATTTATAACCCGGCGGCCAGGTGCCGGAGAGGGGGGATGGCGCGGGAGTCCAGTTCTCTGCCCTCGCGGCAGGACCCAGCACCGTCTAGACAATCCCATTCAATCTGCTCTTAAAAATCTCCGGGCATGGAGATTCCACAACCTCCCTAGGAAAACAGGCACAGCTCTTGTCCCTGCAGCCCTGACAGCGTGCATGGGCTATTTATAACCCGGCGGCCAGGTGCCGGAGAGGGGGGATGGCGCGGGACTGTTGCTTACAGCCTCCTTCGCAGAGCACAGTGGTGTAACACAGATCCAAGGAGAAAGGGGTATGTGGGAGGCGGGGGGATTTCTGATAACAGAGACAGGCTGGGAGGAGGGTGCAGGGGGTGTGAAGGGAGAGGGGTTTGAAAATAGCCCCGATCCCAGGCCCTGCCCTTCCGCCCAGTGAGACGTGTCTCCGGCGCGGCCCTTACACGG